TACGTGGGAGTCCAGCGACATAGCCATTACGCTAACTGCTGGTTCCCCTCCCCCGTTCTCCTTTTGAGATTTTGAGCACTCACACACACACGCTGAGAAGATAAGTTTCTAATGTTTACATCAACCGAGTCTATGGTGTTCGTTATTGTCATAGAAAATTATTACAGATAGTTAACCTTTCTCTTCCATCATCAAAATGCTTGTCTTTCCCATCTGAAATCTTTCAATACTTGGCCAGGTTTTCATTTCCCTGATTGTGCCCTAGGGTCACAAAGGGAGCTTTGGGTGTTATCCTTCTGTGGGATTTTTTAAACTTAAATTTTTATTATTGTAATGTGATTTTCAACATATTCCAAGAGAGGATTATCAGTGTTGTAAAGAAAAAGGTTTCTAAGGCACAGCCATCTAGGAGATGTGATGTAATCCAGGCTGACTAGGTTGTGCAGGACTCTTCAGGGCAAAGAACACCACAAATTCCCCAAATTTATTTCATCACTGAACTTCCTTTTTGCTCAGCATCTCTCAGGACTAACAGTGTTTCAACTATACTAACTCAAAAATATACTCCTTAAGGATGATTTTTGCAGGTGGTAAGACATAATTGAGAAAGATTTTGAGTATGTATTATAAAATAGATCCCTCAAAGAACACTTATGGGAAATTATGATGTCTAGAATTAGGATACAGAGCTAGAAGAGACTTCACATTATCTTCTTGAACTTAAAGATGAGGAAGTGAAGGCCTCTTGAGCTTATGGTTGCCCAAGGTCACAGCAATGAGGGAGCCATCAGCAACCTAGGACTCATTTCAGTGCATGGCCTTTAGAAAAGCTGACGCTGTGTGAAATGTGAGGCTCCAAGTCCCTGGTGCTGGTCTTAAACACTTTCTTCTAGTACACATTTTTTTCTGATGAATGCAAGAAGTTTTTGGGAGTTAGCTCTGAAATGTAGACTATACCACATGCAGTGATTTTGGCTGATTAAAAGGAATGGATCGATAACATTTAGTATGGCACCTATCCACATTAGGCCTCATTAAATATCAGTTCCTATTGTTTCTCTTAAAACTAGGGATGTAGTATTCAGTTATACTCAGGTGTAACTATAAGGTATTTACTTATACTCAGACTATGAAATCCCCGAGTGATTCTCTTGTATCTTGCCCAGTACAGAGCTATTAATAAAAAGGTAATTTCCTCAGTCAGAAAGGAAATTAAGCTAGTAGTTGAAAATGTACTCGTCTTTAATATTTTAATTTTCTTCCATTCTTTTTTCAGGGTGTTTCTTCAGTTTTAATGTGGCCACTAGCAGAACAACGATTACACTACAACCAAGAATCAAGACCAAGATGGTGGTTCTCTAATTTGGAAGCAGTTTTAATGGAGATGGAAATGCTTATCAACTCAACACAGGTACCCCCAAAATACAAATCAAAATATCATCTTCGGCTGCATAGCAAATATGATTTTTAGAATTTAACATTATTATTTGATCACAAGCGTAAATATGTCACCATAAATAAATGTAAATTCATTGTACAAAAATTCCCAACAACTCTTAATACAAATATGATACATTTGACAGTTTCTGAAACAGAATTTTTAAAACTTTTTAAAACCTAAGATTTTTTTTTTTCCTGGTTCTTAGACAGACAAAAAAATTAAAAGGTAGGGGCAGGGGCAGTGATACCAAGGAAAGAATATTAAACTTATTTGGTGTTCACACATAAGTGCCGCTGGCGAGCTAGGGAAATATAATCTTTCCTGAAAACGAAGACCTCAATTTAGTGGGAAAAAGTCTCTTGAGGATAATGTGACTCTGCCCAGAGGGTCAAATTTGGGGCTATAAATACAGAGTATAGGTGGGGGCAGTTTGTTGAAACAGCAATTTCCTCCAATGAATGATTCTGATCTCCACAAAGAAATGGTCAAGGACTTGAACAAACTCTAGAACTTAATAGCTAATTGTCTATTTGAGAACACCAGCTACCACACCCAGACAGGATTGAAGATCTGGAAGGTTCTAGAGCTTAGATATTTTATGTAGGTTTTCAAGGCATGTTTCACCAGGTAGTTCTGTCATGTTGTATAACCTCTCTCCTTTGCCTCTGAAACATACCTATGGTCATCAAGAAGAAAAAAATGAGAAATCAGTACTAGTTTCAGGCAGAACATCTGCCAGCTTCCACTGTGAAACACCTTCCTTCCTTACAAATATCTCCTTTCTTGGCTTAGAGGTAGCCCCAGGTTAGTAGAATGATTCCTTTATAGCAGTAATTCTCAAACTCCGAAGTGCAACACAATAACTTACATAGCTTGTGAGAAATGCAAATTTCCTGGCCCTACTCCCAGAGATTCAGAATTAGTAGGTTTGAGGTGGGGGTCCAGGAATTTGCACCCAAATATGCTAATCTTAAGATCTGACATAAATGGCGTTTGGACCATATTTGGCCCCAACTTTCCTCACTGGAAGACATGAGTGTGTATACAAACCTCTTGCTATGGACACTTCCGTTGGTCTTTCCATGGCGTTAAAAACAGGGTTGTCTGACTAATGGCAACTATTTCCATTCATCTGCCCTGTGGGAAGGGATTATTATTTTCTCACTTTTCTTTTCTCCTCTGGGCTGGAGAAATAACAAATATCACACTTTATAGGTTCTTAGAAGCTCGGGCCAGACTCCCTTTGAAGATGATATGCTCTGTAATGAGACATTTTTATCCCAGAGCATACCGTCCTTCTAAATACAACCACTAGCACCCCCACACCCTATTCTTGGGAGATTCTGCAGAAGACTTTTGGTTCTGTTTGAAAAATGGAATAAATATACCTCTGTGAGAAAACCCACCCAAAATCTAACTTAAGTGACATAAAGAGAACAGAAAGTTGTGAACAAAAAATTAAAATGTTCCAAAAATCTTTTAGCAACTAGGACAATGAAAGTTCTGATTCACTAAAAGCAGGATTTCACTTTTAGGGTTTAATCTTGGTATTAAAAGCTCATTGACAAAGTTATTTTTTGCTTCTGATCTCCCTGTCCCAAAATGTTTCTGGCCTCAGTTGAAATAATCCCTTGATACTTTCTTGTGGGAGGGAGTTTTCCTTGATGAAAGATTCTGTGCTAAGAAGTGGTCCCTTGTTTGGTTGCTGGCTAAAGTCATGGGCAGAGCCATGGTCTATTTGTTCAGAGCTATATACACTATGTGGCCCAGTGTTAAGTATTTAAGGAATAGAGGAATCATCTCACCATCAGGCTGATGAAGTGATCCAAAAGCTTTCTGTCTGAGGCTATGGAATTCCTGTTCATAAATACCCCTAATCAGTGGGCCTGACCACCTTCCTCCCCCAGTTCCACTCAGTGGGATACAGCTGTGAAAGCATTTCTGACTTCTCTCTAGAACTGCTCTGAGAGAGAAGTTAAGATGGGGTTTTGGGGAGTCTATGAAAGGTCAGAGTCAATACCCTCTATCATGGTGCCAATACCAAGAACCTCTTCCTGTATCCACAATGGCTCTCAGTGCTTGATTTTGGTGGCAGAATCCCTGAAATTCAGGACAGGAGGAGATGCCACTAGAGGAACCGGAGGCAGAGCATCAGAGGCAATGAAAGAGTCACTAAGGTGAGGCATACTTTTCCGGACAGGCTAATATCCCTGAGCCTGGCCACACTGGTTCTTGGGATGCAACCACGGATGAGTAGACTATGGGATGAAGAAAAGTGAAACTAGGAAATTTTACATTTGAGAAAGAAAAATAAAAGCACACACTGCCCTGTTTCTTTTTTCTTTTTCTTTCTTTTTTTTCATGTACACAATGGAAAAACCACCATGGAGATGTCATGGAGAACATGCACAGGCCCAGCCATTTGGGAGTGGTGTAATGTGTTTGGGGAGGTTCTTGTTTGCTTCCATGTCCATCCCACATGCTGTCCAGTCGGGTCCTGTCACAGGCTGGCCACGGTGCTCTCCCTCCTGCTTCTCCACCTCCTCTAGACTCAGGGTCTTCAGGATCTTCTGCCTAGCAAGTAGTGGCCAATGACTGGTGGATGGGTGGCTGGAAGCAGCGCACATGCTCCACAGTGGAACTGTCTGTTTCTACAGACTTCATGTACTTATTTAGGATGGCAAAAACTTCATTGTTCAAGATTTGGTACTTTCTGATCCTGTCAGCCATCTTCTTCAGGGGCTACAGAAGAACAGATGTTCAGGTTAGAGCAAAAAGAGGGGATAAAAAGGTAAGAACAAGAGAAAAAGTCAGTAAGGTTGGGCTCTAAGGTCCTATGCTTCAAAGATCATGTCACACTCTTGCTTAAAGGCTTTCTGTGAGGTCTCAAAGTTCTAACAACCAAATGTTAACTGGGTCATAAAACACTTTCCAAGTTTCAAAAGTTATTATGAAACTACACTAACGAAAACAGTGGTACTAGAACAGTATACTAATAAAAAGAGACTAGAAATCAGCCACTACACATATGGTCAAATAACTTTTTAAAAAATTTATTATTTATTATTATTATTATTTTTGCTATAGGGTACGTGCACTCGCCAGACAGATAGAGAGAGACAGAGAGACAGAAAGCGATAAATCACCCCCCCCAGGGGGGATGGCCTCGCCACAATCCCTTCTCCTCCATTCTCCACTCGGGATCTTGGGCACACACGCACATGCGCCCAGCGTGAGTTTTAAGCCACCGGGTCCAGGAAGCGAACCACAGTTGACTACGTGGGAGTCCAGTGACATAGCCATTACGCTAACTGCTGGTCCCTATGGTCAAATAATTTTTGACGAGAGTGCCAGGATAACTCAATGGGGAAGGGACAGTCTCTTCAACAAATGATGCTGAAAAATCTGGATATTCACATTGAAAAAATTAAATGTAAGGGTTAAAATTATATAACTCTCAGAAGAAAATACAAGGGAAGATCTTCATGACAATGGATTTGGTAATGATTTCTTAGGTAAGACACCAAAAGCACAGGCAATGAAAGAAAAATATGTGTTAGATTACATTGCAATTGAAAATTTTTTTGTGGATAAAAAGAGACTATTAACAGAGTGAGAAGGCAACTCATGGAATAGGAGAAAATATTTACAAATCACATACCTGATAAGAGATCAATACCCAGAATATATAAAGCACCATAATTCAACAAAAATAACCCACCCAGCTAAAAAATGGACAAAGGAATAGAAATGACCAAGGAGGATGCCTGAAAAGATGCCCAGTATTACCAATTATTAGGGAAATGCAAATCAAAACTATAACAAAATACCACCAAATAGGATAGATTATCAAAAAACAAAACGAAACAAAAAAGACAAGTGCAGACAAAGAAGAAAATTTGAAACACTTGTGCATTGCCAGTGGGAATATAAAATGGCACATATATTATGGTAAATGGTATGGCAGTTCCTCAAAAACCTAAACATTAAATTACCATAAGGCCTAGCAATTCCACTTCTGGGTATGTATCCCAAAGAAATGAAAGTGGGGATTTGAACAGACACTTGCACACTCATGTTCACTACAGCATTATTCATAATAGTGAAAAGGTAGAAGCAGCTCAAATGTCTATGGATGGGTGATGGATAAACAAAACGTGGTATGTACATAAAGTGGAGTATTATTTATTTGGCAATAAAAAGAAAAGAAATTCTGACACATGTTACAACATGGATCAACCTTGAAGATATTATGCTAAGTGAAACCAGCTAGTCACAGGAGGGTTTACTGTATGATCTTGCTTATATGAGGTGTCTGGAGTAGTCAAATTCATAGAAAGTAGAATGGTAGTTGCCAGGGACTAGGAAAGGGAGGAACGGGGAGTTATTTTTGAATGAGCACAGAGTTTCAGCTGGGGAAGATGAAGATGTTCTGGAGAAGGAAGGTGATGATGGAGGCACAACACAGTAAGTGTACTTAATGTCACTGAATCGTACCTTGGAAACTGGTTAAAGTGGTACAATTTGTTATGCATATTTTATTACAATTGAAAGCAAAAACAAAAACCCTTGTGAGGTGGCTCTGGCCCTTTACTCCTCTCATCTGGTCTCTGAGACCACTTTGCTCAGCCATCCATCTCATGGCACTATGCCTTTGCAGTAGCTGACGCCTCTGCCTGGAACATCCTCCCAAGCCCTATGTCCCACTGTCTGCTTGCTTGGCTCCTTGCTGCTGGCTATTCCAGACTCAGCCCAAGCATCACCTCATCTGAAGCCTTCTCTGACAACCCTCTCCCTGCCCACTCACTGGTTTCGAGGGCCCTTCTCTCCCCTCCCACAGGAGCTTTGCTCACCCCGTGCCACCCTATCCCATTGCAGTGCCTGGCACGTGTGAATGTTCAGTGAATGTGCAGGTGAAGAACCTGCACCAGCAGAGACTGACAGACACAGGGAAGGTGTATTTCAGGTCTGGGCCCAGCCCTGCCCTTCGGGGTAACCTGAGTCATCTCAGCTAGTTTTAGGCCAGTGACTCATGGCTTCCTACTGGCAGATCCCAGCCTGGAGTGTCTGCACTACCTGCAGTGTGGGGAGTGCCCTCCAGGAGCAGCTTGCCCACCCTTTCTGATAAAAACCTGTTGTTAGGCCCGCCCCTGCTCCCAGGCCCCAGTGAGAAGCTGCTTACCACATTCTTTATGATTTCATCCTTCCCATCCTGCCTCTGTACTTTTAGCAGGTGGTAACAGAAGTCAAACAGGTCGAAGCGACGCTGTTGGCCCAGCAGGACGATGATGGAGCAGCCAGCCCAGTTCAAGCCATCACCGAAACACTGCCTGGGAGCAGGGACAGGAAGTAGTTGAAGTGGGAGATGGGGAGGGGGGTGAGGATTTCTGGGGAGGGAGGGATGGGCAGGCGGGCCCTCATATGCACCAGAAGTACAACTAGTAAATGGGCCTGTCTTTGGGTCAAGTCTCTTAGCCTGTAATACGGGAACAAGTGCAGCTTCAGTGTGGATTCATTGGTTCCTGAAAACTCCACATGAGGAGGGACATACCCAGTAAACAGCTGTTGGCCACCTCTGCCCCTGCTCACCTTCTTGGCTGAACTCTGGCAGCCCAATAACTCTTGGGGGAACAAGCAGATTTGGGGGGGACTTTGCCTGCCCCAAGGTACTCACTCAGCTGTGAACTCGTTGGTCCCTACAGGGATGCAGTAGACAAACTGCATGGCACTCCACAGCCGGTGGAACTCCACACATTCATCCACGTGCATGACGCCATTGGTAGGTGGCGGGCCCCGCCAGATGGGGTCCTGCAGGTAGCTCCGAATGCGGGTCAGGATGACCTCGAACATGGACAGGCCACAGCACAGCCGCTCTTTGGTCAGCAGGTCACCCTCTCGTGCAATGGCGATTTGCTGGGAATGGAAGGATGCATACATCTGTCCACATCTCAGACTTTATCCGCTACTCCCACCAGAGATTCCCAAACCCTGGAGCTGGGTGACAGGGAGTTTGTTACCAGAACTGATGTCTTGCCCAAAGCAGGGCTCTAATTTTATAACCTGAGTGCCACTGCACAGAAATCTTGCAGTACGTCTTTCCTGTGACAAAATCCAGGCACTATCCATGGAGGAATGACTTTAAGAACTTATTGGGTTGCCGGGAAAATCACAACACATTTTTGCATAGAAAAACACGGAAAAATATGTCATGATTTCCCCAACAACCTAATATGATCTATCCACGCAATGAAAGACTGAAGGGATATCACTGTTAGTACTACTGCTGCTGCTAAAGTATCACAACTCCCACTTCATCCTCACTGAGTGAGTGTAATACACCAGGCCCTGTTCTAGGTCTCTAATAGGTATCAACTCCTTTCAGTCCCATGTGGTAGGTACCATTATGTCCCCATTTTTTTGGTCAAGAGACATGTCCAGAGAGGCAGTGAGTGAGGGGGTGAGGCTGAGATTTATTTCCTGGTAATCTAGATATGTAGGTTAGAATAGAACAAGTTGCAGAAACGAATATATAATACAGTCCTATTTAAAAACATCAACACAAGGGCCAACAGGTGACATGATGGTTAAGGTGCTGGATTCCCAGACGGCCAACCACAGTTAGAGTCCTGGACTCAACAGCTTGAAAACTGTGCAGGGTATGTGTGTATGCATACCCCAAATCCTGAGAGGAGAATGGAGAAGAAAGGAATGCTATGTGGCTATCCTCTCTAAGAGGTGATTTCTCACTTTCTCTCACTTTGTTTCTCTCTGGCTAGTGCACACACTCTGGCAAAAACCTAAAAACAACAACAACAAAAGCCCCACAAAACATTAACACTCACAGCCCCACAAAGTAAATGTGAGGTGTGTGTGTAGAAAACATTTAGAAAGATTAACATCATGAGTTGTGGAAGCAGATGGCTTGAGAAGTGGGAGAGATTTTGACTCTTTAAATAATTCTGTATAGCTGAATGTGCTGCAGTGAACATATGCTAATCTCTTAAAATTTGTCACTGATCTCACAGACTTATTTTCCCTACTTAAGAAGCCCTTCTTTGACAATTGCAAATGTGTGTTGAATAATTTTAACTGGCTTCTCATCTGGGTCCTGGCTACTGCATTTCTAGTACCAGCTGCCTAGACAGGCATATCAAAACAATCACCGTGTGCAATGAGTGAAAATAATCCCAGGGTAAAGGTCCTGAACGGCATCTGCACAGGAAGATAAATATTAAACTCTAAGGTCAAAGTAGGCTCCAAATCTCAAGAGGACTGGGCTCTGTGACTGATCTACAAGGCTCTCCACTCCTCAGTGGAGGTTTCCCCAGAGCCCACTCTAAGGGGTGGGTGGAAGGGTGCCTGCATGACTTTCCCTGTTACTCCCTCCCCAAAGGCCCCAGGAACAGGGCAACCTCTAAGTGAATCCATAGGAGGAAGTAAATTGGGAAGCATCAATGCTGGAGTGTGTTATAAATGTGAGCCATGAACGTAAGTTACAACTATAAACTGAAAGAAGTCTCGGGGAAAAGGTGAACTGGAGAAGGGTTTGTCAATGTATAGTTTAACACGAAGGAGAGGGAACCCCAATTCACAGTGATTCATCCTGAGTCCACAGACAGAGACAGCTCTTGAGCAGAGGAGGGACCACCCACGTTGCCAAAGTTAGCTAGAAAGACCTCCTAAAATATCTCGGCCCAGCTGTGCCACAGGTTGTAGGGCAACTGTGTGATACTGGAGGCACCCTGGAGGCCTGGGCTCTGATCCCGGGTTGACCTGAGCACACTGGGTGTACCCATGCACGCGTGATCCTGGCTGGCCGGGAGACCATGCCAAGGGTATCTCTACTCCCACCTCTTTCTCTTAAGAGACAAAACTTGAAAAGAAACCTGAACTTGGTGCCTGATTCTGTTCTTGTTGTCTTTATTATTATTTTGTTCTATTCGGTCCCTAAAAGCATCTCTTAATGAGTGCCTGGTACAAGAGAAATGCTCAGTAAGTAAAGGGCCCCAACTTGTTCTTTAGTCATGAATATTCATTTTGTAAATTAATACAGTATTTTGGTTTACTAATTAATCTGTGCATGTGCTTAGTCTGAATCAATCCTTAGGACCTGGCAATCCTTGTGGGTAACTTGAAAAATCGCCGACTGCATGTGTAAATCTGTAGACGAACTTTGACCTCTAGTGATCCTATTCATGGCTAACCAAAGGGGCCTTCACCTACATGGTTAGGCGCTTTGTCCCTTTCCTTTGAATAAGTGCTTACCCTTTACCATTTACCTTTATAGTTTACCTTTTCTGTGAACTATAAAAGTAATATAGGTAAAATTTAGAAACTTTTTAAATAGTTTTTTTCAAAGAATCATTTATCTAACTTAATTTATTGTTATTATTTTTTAATTTGATGAGAGAGAGAGAGAGGGGGAGAAAAAGAGAGAAAGTGAGAAAGCAAACCACCAGGTCCAGGACTTGAACCATGGTTGGTCATGTGGGAGTCCAGCATCTCAACCACCATGCCACCTGCTGGCCCCAAAATTTATAAATAAATTTTAACAAGTCATAAGAAGGAAAATAAAAATTTCCCCACAACCCCATTACCCAGAAATGAGCTTTCTTAAAATATTGATGTATAGGGGTCAGCAGATGGTATGGTGGTTAAGGTATTGGACTTCCACACGGCCAATCACAGTGTGAGTCTCAGACCTGGAGACTTGAAAATCACACAGGACAGATATACATGCATGCACAAAACCTCAAGAGGAGAATGGAGGAGAGTCTGGTGTGGCTACCCCACTTGGGAGGTGATTTCTCACTTTTCCTCTCTCAGTTTCTCTTCAGTGAGCACATGTACCCTATGGAAAAAAACTAAAAAACTAAAAAAAATCATTAAAAAAAAGATGCATAATTTGTTTGTGTTTAGGTATGTATGAATGCAACTATAGTTAACAAACTTTGGGTCATACCACCTACATTGTTTTCTCCTAATATCAATAATTCAAGAACTCCTTTCCTTAACATGATTTTTAATGGGTATATGTAATAGTCATTGACATGACATAATGTGAATTTAGTATCCTAATTTATTGGCTTTTTAAAAATTAAAAAAAATACACACACACACACACACACACACACACACACATATATGTGTGTGTGTGTGTGTGTGTATAAAATTCTAAAATTTGACCAGAGAGAGAAAGGGAAAGTGGTAAAGCAAGCTGCCAAGTCTGGGACTACAACTGCAGTTGGCCACGTGAGATTCTAGTGCCTTAACCATCATGCCACCTCTTATTAATTATTTTAAAGCGTTTGCAAAATCTCACTACTATAAATTGTTCTAAAGCAACTGTCTTTATATTTACAATTTTGTGAACCTATCTCTGATAATTTTGTTATGATAAACCCTTAGTAATAGGAAGTCAAAGAGTATAAATGTTTTAAAAGGCTTTTGCTACCTAGCGGCAAATCAATCTCAAGAAAGGTTGAGTCATTGCACATCCACCTGTGTGAAGCCGGTTCTTTGGACTCTCATCAATACTTGATTATCATTTAAAAAAGTTCTTTCCCAAGCTGAAACTAATTCTTTGAATATGCTTTTCACTGATTACTGGTATGGCTGAATATTTTTCTATGTTTGTTATCATTATAGTTCTTTGTTATTTTTTTGGAGATGGTTTTTGTTACAGAGTGTGTGTGCTCGCCAGAAAGACAGAGAGACAGAAAGCGAGAAATCACCCCCCTGGGGGGATGACCACACCACAATCCCTTCTCCTCCGTTCTCCTCTCGGGACCTTGGGCATGCACGCACATGCACCCGGTGTGATTTTAAGCCACCAGGTCCAGGACTTGAACTACGATCAACTACGTGGGAGTCCAGAGCCATAGCCATTACGCCAACTGCTGGTCCCTATCATTACAGTTCTTATATTGTGGGTTTTCTTTCATGCTTTCTTTCTCTTTCCTTTTGGTATGTCTATCATTTTCTTTATGCTTTGATAAAAGTGTTTTAAGTATTGTTGAAAATAGCCCTGATTTATGGCTTGGTGTTTATTTGGGGGGGGGTGTGTGTGTGTGTACATGATACAGCTTTTACCCATTTCTTTTCTATTCCACTTAGTAGGAGGAGCTTTTCCTTCTCTTTCTGCCATTCTTTTCTGAATGAAAAGAAATATAACAGAGAAAACATTTGTGAGGCCATGCTGTAATGATTTCTGCATGGAGTAGTTGGAGTACATTCGCTACTCCCTGGAGGAAAGGGACGGCTCAATATTCCTTCTTTTATAATTCTTTGTTTTGGAGAATTCTTATGTTATTTTCTCATCAAAGGCAGCTCAACTGCAGAAGTAAACCGGCTACTATCCCATTTCACAGATGGGAAACAGCGACTGAGAAATTAAATAACTTGCACTAGATTACACAAAATACAGGGGTGGAAGTAGGATGAGGACTCGTGTCTTTTGACCCCCAGAGTGTTCTTTCTACAATGGTGCTGGGCAACAAACCAGGTTATACCTTAATTTGTGTCAAACAAATGCAAACAATGCAATACTCAGAGTGCCTGGCTTTCAGTTGAGCACAGCGTTCCTCTGTCATTGACCTAGATAGTACACGAGTGACCTGAATCCCAGCTAGCTTGGAAGTTAATGTATTGTTGATTTTTTTTTTTTTTTTTGCCTATGGGATAACTAATTTTTTGGACTATTTGTCAAGGGATGCGAGTCTTCCAAAACCGGCATTTCCTCTGGTGGACTGTCTAGGCTTTTGTTTGTGAAGTGCTCAGCACTTGACAGATTAAGATTTCTATCCGTCCCAAGGAAATGATGTTCACCAGAACAGGGAAGGAATTCAGGCCTCTGAGTGGAAACACATGCCAAATCTTGGGTACGAGAGTATGAGAGGCCAGATTCTTGTAGG